GTACGTGGACAAAGTCCAGGGACTGATCGCACAAAAGTTAAAGTAAAGTCGCCAGGAGATACTTCACTAAGGGCAGAGGCAAAAACTGCAGGGAAATGGCAACACGAGCGACACAGCCTAGAGCGCTCACACAAAAAATTCACGCCGCTAAAACACGCCCGACACAGCACAGATCAAAGTGACAGATTGCCTGATGATAACTTGTTTAATGATGACGCTGACGGCGATCAACTTTCGGAATACCTATTCAACAGTAAAACCCTTAAATTGATGGACAAAGCTCTAGTCAGAATTCCCGATTTTGACCCACACAATCAGACCAGGGATATACACACACATATCGCAACAGTAGAAGAGGCAATGATTAGAGGGCTGATGAGACGGGATGAAAAAGCGAGTTTGTTGAAACGGAGCTTACATAGAGAATCTATACCATGGGTAAAGTCGCTACCATACCAGGTTAGAAATTATTTTAAACAACTGAGCCTGGCAGTGATTTGGAAGTTTGGAGAATATTCGACACTCACTGAGAGGTTTTATGCGGTAAAATCGATGACCCAGGGCATGGACCAAGACCCACGTGACTACCTTTTACAATTTAAAAGAGCGTATTACGCAGGCGATGTGAATCGATACCACAAAGGAGATAACATGTTCAAAATTATGTTTTTTGAATCCTTGAGCCCAGAGATTACAGAAAGGGTGAGAATGGTTTTGAATCCGGAAACCGCATCCTTACGCCGCATAGAGAGCAAGGCGTACATGGCATGGTTATACAGAGCTAAGAATCATAATTCGGATCCAAAACACAGGGAGAGGGATAAGGAACCCAGCCTCTCAGAGAGAAATAAAAATCACCGATCAGTCCCACAATGCAGGGAGGAGCCAACACGCACGCACCTATGGCAAAATAAACCAGAGAGAGGTTGGCACGAGAATGAGAGCGGCACAAAGCCGAACATTCAGGAGAATTGCAGAATGTGGAGACCAAGGGCAGAACCATATCAACACCCCATGCCACGACACACGCAAGGCCAAAGTTACACACAAAGATGGCGAGATAACCATCTAGCGGGAAGGTGGTACACAGACTGCGGAGGTACGGAGGCGAACATTCAGGAGAATCGCAGAATGTGGAGACCAAGGGCAGAATCATATCAGCAACCCATGCCCCGACATACGCAAGGTCAAAATTACACACAAAGATGGCGAGATAACCATCTAGCGGGAAAGTGGTACATAGACTGCGGAGGTACGGAGGCGAACATTCAGGGGAATCGCAGGATGGGAGGTCAAACACAATCGGTCCAATTCCGACCAATTTCTCCACCGGCTATACCAGGAAGGAATAGAGGAATAACACAGAATGCGGTCCAAATACATGATGAACCACCCACAGTGAGTGAGAGCGAGCGGCCCACACGCGCCCCACCCGCCGAGGTTTTGTTAAACCCTGAGCTCAATGGGAAATGCAAGCAGGCTGCAAGTGACAGGGCGGACAAATACCACCACGATCGGGAGACGTTAAATGCATACGATGCGGTAAGAAACGCGGACAGTGCTCCCGTAAATGACGCGCAGATCGAATACAAGGACAGGGCTGAATTGAAGTGTGATCGGACAGTAGATAACAGACAGCAGAGACAAAGAGGAAAACCAGAGCGCACAGGAAAAACAGTACCACACGTCGCAGGAGCGCGCGATGGTGGTGCAGAGAGAGAGAACACAGAGACACGCCCTGAGGAGTGCAGGCGTGAGCCTTTGAATGAAAAATATCCAAGGGAAACCAAAATTAAGGTGGATCGGAGTGCTAAAATGGAGATGAATGTTCATGACATATCGGGAATGGTGTTGGAATCTAACACACTCGTAAAAACAAAGAGGGCAACATTACGAGGCACAGAATTAAATGGACACGCTGACTCGGTAAATGTGGATGTAATCGCAGAGAGTGCGAGAGCCACGAACAAAGTGTCAAAGTTGGTTGTGTGCGCGAGTTCTGGTTATGTGCAACCCAATTTCACACCACACACTCCCACGACGCGAGAGAGTGAGAGGGGAAATTATAAAAACGAACCGGAAAACCGTGATCGAATGATCAAAGTGATAAGTGGTAAACCAGACACTCGGAGCTTGGAAAAATTATGGCGACGAGGTAACATGAGGAAGGTAACGCATACATGCGTTCGAAACCGCTACCTAGCGTTTCCCAGGATTTAACAAAAACTAAAAAATGTATATCCGCCGTAGTTGTGATGGATGAGAATCGATGTAACTTGTGGTATTGATGTTTAACGTTTTGTTGTATTTTCCTTGCTTATATCAAATGTAACCATGTGAAGATTGATACGTACGCGCGCACATTGTAAGGAATGCGTTATGGATTAGTACCGATGTTTAAAGTTTTGTTTTATTTTCTTTGCTTATTTTAAATGTAACCATGTTAAGATTGTGATACGTACGCGCGCACGTTGTAAGGAATGCGTTATGGATTAGTACCGATGTTTAACGTTTTGTTTTATTTTCTTTGCTTATTTCAAATGTAACCATGTTAAGATTGTGATACGTACGCGCGCGTTGTGAGAAATAACCGCCGAGAGTGAGGGCGGCTGATGGATTTATAACGAAAAAAAAAGGACATTTACTTGTTTAAAAAGACGCCAGTGGCCGAATCAACCACTGATAATTTTCAAAAGGGCGGATTGTTGTGTCTATACCCTTTTTTTATTAAGAACAATTCAAAAAAATAAAATTATATATATTTTTTTAATATATCTATATATTTTTTAAAATTAAATAATGAAAACAACCCACTTCTCCACCGGCTATACCAGGAATCTATGAAACATAAAGGACCATTAGGCCGGTGGGAGTTCGGTCACAGAGAGGTCAGAGACATCCAGATGGACAAAAAGATCGATGGACTAACCTCCCAAGACATCTTGAGATGCACGGAGGGGGTGCAGAGCAGAGAAAAACAACTTTTGCAACTCGCGTTTTCCTTAAACGTTTTCCGTACCGAAAAGTAGAAACTTAACAAAAAGAATTAACCAACAAACAATAGGGGCTTTTAATCAGTAATTCCCTTGTATTACTCGTATTCACCATATATATTATTTTGTATTGTATGTTTCTATCTACCTGACCAAAAAAAATAATAATAATTACGAATTCCAACAGTTAAGGAAGCGTAAGTGGAAACTTAGTTGCACTTAACCTCAGGACATTAAAAGAAATATCAAGAATAAATGTAACACACAAGACCACATAAGGTATTGCATACATCTCCTCGACCACCTTTGTCTTCCAGCGGGGTCTGGCAAGCAAGGAGGGAGCAAAAAGGTCACAGAGGGGAGTCGGTGCCTGACATTCCAAAGACATCTTGTTTTTTTTGTTTGTTTTCTCTCGCAAGGGATGCGCAGAGAGGGGAGTCACGTTTTGAGTTAAGCACAAGCGCACATAGCGAATGAGCAGTCTGTCCGAGTCACGCTCAGTCTCGCAACTCGGCTTGCGACGCGGCGTAGCGACGGGGCTCGCAAGGGAGCTGAGGCGCGTCGTGCCTCGAGGAGAGATGGGACGACGAGGGGTCGTTATGGTAACAGCCTGAGTGCAGTCTGTCCAAGTCGGGCTCAGTCTTGCAACTCGGCGTGCGACGCGGCGTTGCGACGGGGCTCGCAAGGGAGCTGGGGCGCGTCGTGCCTCGAGAAGTGATGGAACGAGGAGGGGTCGTTCGAGTCGCAGAAGCCTGAGTTCAACCTGGGTCGAGGCTGGGTTTCAGCCGTGCTCCGGCTGGCGGAGCGTCGTGAGGGAGCAAACACCGATGCCGATAGCAGGTGTCGCTTCTCGCAGAACGAAGTTAAGTGCGAGTGAAGCTGGCAGTTGCACGAACAAGGGAAGCACGGAGAAGAGAGAGTGACGAGTGACGACAAGCAATCATCCTGTAAAAGGGCGGAAATCGCCGAGCGTCGACCAAGCGAGCAAAGCAGAGAGCGCGAAGCAGTGGAGAAAGCCTGATTAAACGGCTGTGAGGAAGAGGACAGCGCCAACGCATGCGCCGTGTGTTTGAGGCACACAACCGACCAACGACCAGTGAGAACAGACCAGACGTCCAGAGCGACGGCGAGCATCGTGCCGACTCAACAATCAATCGAGCAGTGGAGAAGCCGGGGGCTGCCACCAAGAGAGAGAAAGCGCCATCGAATGCGCAGTGTGTTTGATACTCAGACCGACCAACACCCAGTGAGCACAGCCGCGTCGTCCAGAGCCACAAGCCAACACAGCCTGAAGCAAGGGCGAGTGTCCGTGTGAAGTTGGCAGCGATCAAGGAGAGAGCGACAGCTGCAGCACGACCCGGGCGTCACCGAGCGTCGTGCCAACTCGTCATCTAGCAGTAGAGGGAGAGAGAGCGCAAGAGCAGCACGACTCGGACGTCACCGAGCGTCGTGCCGACTCGTGGAGGAGCTGCGCGCTATCCGACGACAGAATCATCGCGCACCACGACGGCGAGCATCGTGCAAACTCAATCGAGCAGTGGAGAGAGAGAGAGAGCGCACAAGCAGAGACACGCCCGAGCGAGGGAGCAGCACGGCTCGCTGCGGCCACGCCCAACCCAGAGAGAACCTCTGGCCGCTGTTTGTATCCTCCCACACCACACAAGCTAACGACACAACTCCCGGCTCTAAGAATTAATTAATTTTACAAGGGGACAACGCACACACAGCACGCACACGAATAAGACTTTAAAAAAAATTATCTTTGCGTTTCAAAAAGGGTTGCCATTTCGAGGTGGTGCGTTCAATATCAACTGATCGTGCAAAGCAGTTGCTGCCGTCGAGTTACATGAATAAGAAATGTTTTAGTCATTCATTTTTGTTGAATTAAAATTGCTTAACACCAAGTCTCGAGTGCTTCTTTCCAAGTCCATGCAAAACTGTCTTATTCATAAGAGCTGTTACCTGCGATGAGATATGGAAATGGAGACCTAATATAACATAACACACACTAAGATAATCGATAAATGTTTAATCAATGATAATCGTGTTATCCTGATTGATACAACTCTGGATAAACGAAACTAAGCTTAATTATCATAACTGCACACATTAACATAATCGCAAGCATCCGCATAAATTACTACGATTATCTCCGTGGTTATCATAATTTATGCATATAATTACACACACTAACATAATTTATGCGATTTGCGCATTTTTTGGAAATAATTAATTTTTATTATTTTCATCAAAATTCCATAACCCAACACATACAACATAAATCCCCAATCTTCTAAATCCCAACCCATCTAAACTCCAACCCTCTAAACCAGGGGTCCCCAACACCCGGGCCGCAGACCGGTACTGGTCCGTGGCCTGTTCGGAACCGGGCCGCACAACAGGAGGTGAGCGGTGGGTGAGCGAGCGAAGCTTCATCTTTATTTACAGCCACTTCCCATCGCTCGTATTACCGTCTGAGCTCCGCCTTCTGTCAGATCAGCGGCGACAGATTCTCATCGGAGCGAGGGATCTAGGTTGTGCGCTCCTCATGAGAAGTCAGAATCCGACACTTATTTTAGTCTGCGAGTGGCCCGCCCATTTTATTTACCACTTCCGTCCGCACCTATTTCCTGCACTGCGCACTTGTCTCAGTCACAGTTTTGGTAAGCCCACAAGCTAACCCTAGCCAAAATGAGTAAAAAACAAATGTAGCTGGAGAGCTTATTTGAAAAGGGGGAAAGACCCAATGATGAATACCCCCCCCCCTCCCCGGTCCGTGAAAAAATTGTCTTCCACAAAACCGGTCGCTGGTGCAAAAAAGGTTGGGGACCGCTGCTCTAAACAACTCACCCTCCAAACCCCTAACCATCTAAACCCCTGTATTTCTCTAAAACCCTAACCCTCTAATACCATAATAAAGGTTTGTTGGGTTAGATTGTGTAAATATTAATTTGTCGTTAAACCTGCCACCATCCGACACAGCCAATTAGTAACTCTTGATTTTAAGCTTTTTGACTGCAGGAATCCATACTCTTTGGTTCTTTCGGTAAAGTCACGTAGTTAGAAATAAAATAAAACAAATCACGACGTTTCGATTGCAACACAAAGCGGTCGCCAACAGGCAAAGGAGTCAACCTCTAAAGGCAAACTGTTTATAAGGGTTTGAGGATGGGCACAGCCCAAGTGTATCAACAGCACCAGGAGCATGGGCGGTGCACGAGTGCCAATGCAGCAACAATGCTAATGCAGCAACAATCTAACTACGTGACTTTACCGAAAGAAAGTACAATTAGTAAAGTTTGACACATGAACAAAAAGTTAGTCATTCTTTGGTTTTTTCGGTAAAGTCACGTATAAAAATAAAATAATAAATGTATGCTATTATTTAATTTATTATTTTATTTTTATACGTGACTTTACCGAAAAAACCAAAGAATAATTCCTGCAGTCACGAAAGCTCCAAAATTAAGATTAAAAAGTTAGTCTCCAACACACCGGTGTGTGGGCCACATTAATCCAGGTACTTCACACACTCCACTAGGTACTCAGTTGAGGCTGAGTCGAACTAGAGGAGGCCCAAGACCAGTTCAGATAATCGTCACTGGTGTTGGCAATGAGCTGGAATCGAATTCAGTTTCTAGCACAGCAGGCTAACCGCTACACTATCGCTCCCCCATACATACAAGACCACGACTCTAAGGAAAGAGAGGGGGATCACGAGCGGATAGACGCCCTGTGGGAAATACCTCTATGCAGCGCGGGAGATGATCTTCGTGGCTGTCGGACCGGAATAATTCCCTGCCCGTCGCCAACTCCGCCACCGTGCAGCCCAGCGCCCACATACCCACTCCACATGTCAAGCTATAGCCCAGCAACAGCTCTGGAGCCAAATATTCCAGGATCCCACCAACATTCATAGCTGCACAATAATCACAAGAACAACAAACATATGTAAGTGTGTACACATTGTGTCCTAAACAGTATCATCATCACACACATAAACAGTAACATGTACAGACACTCAGATACTGACAGACAAACACACTCAGACAGACACAGACGAATACTTCCACAGACACAGAGATACCCATACACAATGACACCTACACAGACACCTACAACACAGACACCAACACAGACACCCAAATACTCACACACAGACACTCACACACCAAGGTGAGGTCACTCACGTTGACTTTCCACAAAAAAGCTTGTCCCAAAGTCCGTGACCCTCACAGTGCCAGTCACGGTGTCTTTGACTAAAACATTTTCCTGGAGGAGCGGTAGAATGAATTCAAACTCAGAGGTTATGCCGATATCATTCAGCCAACAGTGGATCAATCACGTACCACGACACCTGCTAAACAGGGGAAGTAGATGAGGCATAGCGCTGTCAACAAGCTTCAGTCAAGTGCAATATGCGCTGTTTTCTGACAGGTGTCACTGGGGGGTGCCCCTTTCAAATGCGTCAAGATTGGAGATGTGAGTAGAGGCGTATCACGTTCAAAGCATTCTCAGCCACCATCAAAGTAAAGGGGGGTGGGCTCTATTGACAACCGATTGCCATTACTCCAAGAGGAGAGCTGCATAGAGCTCACAGCTGGATGAGCGCCCATTAACGGGTTACAGACAAAAAGCCACGCACGAGAGTGCGCGGATTCCGTGACGCTTTCCACTGCACGTTTGTCTTCGGACGTTTTCAATTTGCAGATTGGAATTCGATAACGAGCAGTCGTCAGGCCAAAACGTGCATTTCGCACATTTTGAAAACTGTTCTTTTCGACTCCGGTTCGTGTCTCCCAAGGTTTGGGGCAACGCTGATTAACATTGCCGGTTTTCTCTCCGGTGAGTCCCCAAGAGCGACACGACTCTACACTTTAGTTTAATTCATACTGGATCATCTTCACCAGAGGTAGCGTGACCCTGCCTCCTTCCAGTGAGATGGGCAGAGCTAACGTATCGATCCTGTGACCAAAATGGCCGGTTTTCACTGTGGAACGAGTCCCCAATAAAGATACACCTCTGCACCAAAGTGAAAGCTGAACGCTGTGTCCACTCACAGGCTTGATGTCCGCGTGGACGATTTTCCTGGAATTGATGTGGCACAAGAACTTCAGGATGCCCCTGGTGTAGGTTTTCACCATCGCCATGTCCAACCGCCGGAGCCCCACATTTCTAATCACTTCATGAAGGCTCTCCCTGTGACAGAGGCAGAAGCAGCAACAAAAAACACAGCATCAGTGTCATCCCCTGCAATGCTGCACTGATTCTGATAATCATTCTTAGGTTCTTTCGGTAAAGTCACGTAGAAAAAAATTTAATTAAATAATAGAATACAACTTTTCGATTGCAACACAAGCAACCGTCATCAGGTAGAACTTCATTTTAGAGAGAGACAAAACACAGACACGGAGACACAGACAGACACACACGCAGAGAGAGACAACACAGACACACAGAGAACCAATGCCTCTCTGTCGAGGCCTTAATCTACCTGATGACGGTTGCTTGTGTTGCAATCGAAACGTCGTCTTCTATTATTTTATTTATTTTCTTTCTACATGACTTTATCGAAAGAACCAAAGAGTAATTCCTGCAGTCACGAAAGCTTAAAATCAATTATAATCACGTTAATATTGTACGTTCATGTGCACGTTCATGACCAATATTAAGAGTCATAGTTCCGTGTGGGTTGAGGTCGTCGATTTGCCGATAAACAAAATCAGTTGGCATATCTGCCCACTTGGCAACTTGATTTCATTGGCTTTGTTGCCGGGTGGTGGAGGGTTATCCATTGGGAGAAGATAAAAACTACACACAAAAAAGGATTCTCGCTGAGAGGCACAAGCATCACCACTGCCATGCAGCCACCCTGCTGATTGAGTGGAGGCATGGCTAGGTAAAAGTGGCAGGGCTAATGGGGAAAAGAGAAGTGGCCTCCAACGCACCCGTGACACATGGCAGCTTCACAGTATTACAATGCATGGGTGGCGTGGGCATCTCAGCTTGCCGCGGTGGCGAGATGACGTCTCTCATGGAGGAGGTCGTAGGTTTGATCTCGACCGTGACGCCTGTACAATTGGAGTTTGCATGTTCTCCTCGTGGGCTCATGGATTTTTATGTGGGTCCACTGGTTTTCCCCTCCACATTTAGAACGAACATGCTAATTTGTTAAGCTTTCATTTGTGGCCAGGTTACTTCTAAAAAATAACGAAAGTTTGTTCAGTTAGTTAACCACATTATTGGTGGAGGGGGGCGGGGGCAGGGGGCGGCACGCAGTACATACTTCAACAGCTCCAGGACGATACAGTGGTGTCCTCTGAAATAAAATCTGTTCAGGACTTTGATGACGTTGAAATATTCATCACTGCCCTCGCCCTGAAGTTCCAGAGCTATCTGGAGCTCCATCTTCTGGTATGTTTCTTGCTTGGAGCTGCACAGAGGAAGTACACAAATGAAAAACCTACACTTGCTTAAGGGATATCCAAAGCCAAATTCTATTCAGAATAAAATAATTAAATATGAATTCACCAGGTCTAACGGCACCATGAGTTCCAGTAGTACACTCGCCTACCATTGGTGAGGAGCTACCACAGAGGCAGCAGGAGCCGACGTAGAGTACCCAATAGGATTTGGAAGTGAAGAGCCATTCAAATCGGATTGGTCATTTGAGAAATCGAAATGCAAACGCATGTTAACACAATGCGTTTTCGCTTCAATGTGGCTCTTGCACAACGCGGAATGTGCCCGTAATAACACAAACGCGCCCATTGCAACACGGAATGCTTCTTGTTTTCAAATGAAACGCACTCGTTATAACGTGGAACATGCCTGTTAAAGCGCGGAACCCGCCCGTTATAACACGATTTGTGAGTAGTCGACAATTTCTTGAGCTGCAATGATACATTACTCGCAATGATAAAGTAACATGAGGGCATACCCTCAGTTATTGGTCTCGTCATCTCAAGGTGTATGTGTGCATTGTATATCGCCAAACATTATTATTACATTATTTCTGGGGAAATTGTTTTCACTCAATACTTTTTTGCTGGACGCGGAACTTTTCCGGAATGTATCTACAGCATTAAATGAGGAATTACCGTAATGTGCAGGTAATCTTTCAGCAATGGGATGTTTTGCCCCAATACTAATTTACACTGTGTGTGTGTGTGTATTTTAAGCTTGAGGGAGGAAAAATCTGAGAACCCAGAAGGAACTGATGCAGAACAGGGGTAGAACATGTAAACTCCATACAGGAGGGCACCCGAATCAGGAGTCAAACCCAGGCCCCCCTTCTCGCTTTGAGGCACGAGTGCCACCACTGCATCGCACGGCCGCCTGTGGCAATGAACTTAACGTCGGCCTGGTTACGGCATGGCTCTGAAGTCTTACCTCAATGGTGACACCAGGATCTTAATGGCCACCAGGGTGTTCCCTTTGTGATCAAGGCACTGGATCACCTGGCCTTGACCTCCTTCTCCAATCTTCTTTAGCACCTCATAGCGGTAGTGAAGGTGCTCATGCCGGAACTGCACAAAAGGTACAATCATTTAAAGTGATTAAAATAACAAAGTTTAAGAAGTGAGAATGTATATTCTTTAGGTCTTTAGGTAAAGTCACGTAGATAGGTTCAAAGAAAATAACAAAAAACAATCAAAGGGCTGCCAGGTGAAAATTAGCAATGCTACAAGGCGCATTTCCCCCCCCCCCCTCCAACCCAGCTTAAATAGACGCTCCAAGCGTGGTGGTGTTTCATTTAGACGCTGTCGCCTCGACAGACCTGGTCTTCACCTGAGGATGGCTGCTTGTGTTGTGGCCGAAACGTTGTGAGAATTATTTTATGTTTTATTTGTATTATTTTATTACTTCCCTTCTACGTGACTTTACCGAAAAAAACAAGAAGAAGAAGATGTTAATGAGAGATTAGCATGTTAATGAGAGATCGCAGAGCCGCAACCGAGGGGTCGGCATGTGAAGTGGCTGTGTTCCTGTGAATCCTGTGAAAGCGCAAGTTTGAATTGGGCATAAAGCACAAATAACATCCGAAGGTGGTAGGATGGGAACATAATAGCCAGTTATGACTTAAACTGGTTGATGACATCCTTCCAATGATTGATCGGTTGAAATTGTGTCTGTGTATGTATAAATGAATGTCTTCATGAACGAATCTTTGTTGATAGCCAGTGGGCTTGTAAAGTACCTTCGTCTTGGAGAAATACATTTCGTGTGAGCCCACCGTAATAAAACAATGATCAGCCACGGCTGAGGTATTGGTCCTACCGTGTTTCAGATCCCACCAAGTTTCAGATCTGCCTTATGTTCACAAACATAAGGCAGATCTGAAACCGTCAGGTTGGCTGCCCACCACTTGCATTCATATTGGCTGCTGACATTTGGGCTACGCCCATTTCAAACCCTTATAAACAGTTTGCCTTTGGAAGCCAAGCCCCCTTTTCCTGAAGACGACCAATTGTTTTGTGATCGAAACGTCGTAATTTTTGTTGTTATTTTATTTGAACCTATCTACGTGACTTTACCGAAAGACCCAAAGAATGTGAATTCCCGCAGTCACGAAAGCTTTAAGTCAAGATTTAAGTGAGAATGTAATTTTCTAAAATATTTTCTGTAATTATTACGTTTTTTTTATCTGTCATTGTGGAATGTTCTGATGTCTGCTGGCTCAAGTCACCGTAAAAAATACTATCTTCTTAGCTCAATGGGCTTTCCTCGTGAAGGATGCGATTTACACCGCTGATATCAGTCTTCTGCAAGTCCCTTCAGCTCCACATCCTCCCATACAGCATCAGTCCATATTTTCGACATCCCATGTCGTGCCCGTTTAGCCCCCTTTATGCGGCCAAAAAAACTGCTTGGGTATGCGGGCTACAAGACCCAGCCAACGCAGCCTTGCCTGCCGGAGGAGCTTTCAAGCATTTGTGAGCCCCTCACACAATCCAGCTAGGTTAAACCCAGGATGGATCGTAGGAACCACCACCAACACCACCACCAACACCACTAACACCACCACCAACAGCACCACCACCACCACCAACAAGAATATCACCACCATCAACACCATCACCAAAACCATCACCACCAACACCACCCGCATCAACACCACCTCATTCAACACCACCCCCATCAACACCACAACCAACACCATCCCCATCAACACCTACAACACCATCACCATCAACACCACCACCAACACTACTAACACCACCTCCATCAATACCACTACCAACACATCCTCTTTGGTCTTTTCGGTAAAGTCAAGAAGGTAGAAAACAAAATAAAATTAATAAATAAACACAACTAATTGTTTACATTTATTATATTTAGTTTTTTACCTACGTGACTTTACAGAAAAAAACCAAAGAGTATGAATCCTTGCAGTCACCAAAACTTCAAATCTAGAACCACCAACACAACCACCACCAACAACACAACAATCAACACCACCAACACCATCAACACAACCACCGCCAGCAACACAACAATCAACACCACGAACAACACCACCACCAACACAACCACCACCAACAACACAACAATCAACACCACAACCAACACCATCAACACCACCAACACCACCACTAACACAAAAGAAAAAAATCTCCCTTATAGCTGAAATAGACTGTTGGGGCAAGTGATGTTAGCCAGCATCACCTATGAGGGCCAGAACGGCACACGAGGGCGTGAGCAGCCAACACCACGCCCGGCGGCCTTTGTCTCCCTAGTGGCGATGTTTACACACCAGGTACTCATTTGAAGCTGAGTCGACCTAGAGGAGGCCCAGGACCGGTTCATATAATCGTCACTGGTGTTGGCCTTGAGCGGGAGTCCAACTCGGGGACACTGGGTTCATAGCGCGGCACCTTAACCACTACACACACACAGACTCACACACACACGGACACAAACATACGGACTCACACCACGCACACAGACTCAGGCACACAGACTCGCACCACACACACCACCCACCCACAGCTCGGATCCACTCTTCACCTTCGCCAGTCTCTTCCCCGCCTCTCTAACGGACAAACTGCCCAGCGAAAGTGCGTGGCGCGAGACGAGGGGGCGGTACCAGGTGACCACGCCCGCTGAGACGTAACAGCCCTGAGCTCCTCCCCCCCACCGGAGCTCCTCCCCCCCAAGCCCACCCCCTCACCCCCCTCGCCTCGCCCCCTCCCACCCGCCCCTCCCCCCGCCGAGGCCGGGGCGAGTGGAGGCGGCGCTGTGGATTGTGGGAGGCGAGCGGCCGATTTGGATTTCCGTTCACGGCCACCGTCGGTGGCTCGCGAGCTTCTGAAGCGGCGGCTCGCTGGCTGGGCCTCCTCTACGTCGACTCAGCCCGAAGAAGGTGAGAACCTTGCACGGTGTGGACACATCAGCAGTGGCGGTGGTGCGGGGAGGGGCAGAGGAGGCGTCTGGCTCACAGCCGTCACGCGTTCGGCGCCTGCTGAGTTCACGGCCCTGCTGCTGCTGATGATGAGGAGAGGCACTGCCAGATTGTGGCTGATGGGATGAGTTACATTTCGTTTTTTGTATCTCTGGAGGGACGGATTTGTTATCGTGACAGAAATGGCCTCCACTAGAGGCCGCGATGTAGAGTATTCGGTCTACTCTTCCACGCTGGGCGTACCAACACTTTAACCTTCCACACGCGGGGCGTGAGCTCACTGTACAGTACTTGCAATGCAGAGGTGTAGGTTCGAATCCATTTCACACTCAGCCAGCCACTCACCCACAGAGGGATAACGACCCTTCATGCAGTGGTTGTGTAGTATCTCCGTCAATGTTTTTGTTGTTTGGTTATGGTGGTTATGGTGGTTGTGGTTATAATCGTGACTTTAGTTTTGGTTGTGTCGAGTCTTGCTTCGTGATTACAGACTCAGACGGAGACCAGGGTAGAATGTTCAGGGCTGCTTGCCGTTTATTCACACCGACATCCGCACTCCTCTTCTGTCTCAAGTACCCCCTACTCCCTGACTCTCGCTCTCTTTCTCCTGACTCCCTCGACCTTCGCCCGCGCTACCCCGTACTCATCCACCCGTAGCCTCCTTTGTCTCTCCGGCCCAGGAGCCTTTCTCCCTGCTACCTGGCTCCTCTCTCACTCCACTTCCTCACTCTCCCCTTCCGTCTAGGTTCCCCTTTTATCCCCTTAGCCCGGCTCCTCCCTTTTACCTGGGGTCTTTCTACTTGCCCTCCTCTCTCTCTGCCTTCTGGCACTCCCCTTTCTGCGTGGACCCCTTCCCGCGGTTGCCCCTCGTTGGGTCCCCGCAGTACTCCTCTACAGTTGTTTAGGTGGTTGTAGTGGTGTTGGAGGTTACGCTTGTGGTGTAGGTGGTTATGTTGGTTGTTATGGTAATTGTGGCTCTAGTTGTGGTGCTTGTGGTGGTTTTGGTTGTGGTTATAATTGTGGTTGTGTAGGTTGTGGTTATATGTGCGGTTGTGGTGCTTGTGGTTATATTTGTTATAATTGTGTAGGTGGTGGTTGTAATGGTCATAGTTGTGGCCACACATACGCACAGTAGGTGTATGTATTTTGAACTTCTATCGCACCCTACCCAGCCAACCGTGCTAATTGGAGGTGTGGTTATAGTTGTGGTTATTTTATGGTTGTTTCGGTTATAGTTGTGGTGATTGTGGTTTGCGCAGGTGCTGGGATGAAGGATGCATTCCATGTCCTCTGCCCATGTGACTCCAACAGCGATGGCTCCAGCCAGCACTGCCACCCCTGTGTCGCGTTGGTTACATGACCTTGCCTCCCAGAATACCTTGCAGTCGTCATTGATTCTGGGCCATCTTTACCTCCTGCATCTCTAGAGGAGCTCTCGCTTCCTCTACGCACTCTACTCTTACCTCTGCTCTCTCTCCCCGTGTGTCCCTCCTCTCTCTCCCCGTGTCTCTGTGGGGGTCGCTGGCCCCCGAGATCCCTCCCTCGATAATGCTAACAGCCGGGCTAACATCATTACTCGCCCCCCCGCTGCTAGGCGAACCGCTGCTGGGTTCCTCACCCATGGGGTGGGAGCCGTCGCTCGATGATTCCTCTCCACCGCGGGTCCGCGTTAGTAGGCATGGCTAGTTAGTTACCGAGTAGTATTACGTCCCCTTCACACTACCACGATACTTCCCTTTCCTAATCGCGCATCTGTATCCTCCACATAGCGAACGTACGCCCACACCCACACACAGCTCCACACGCGACACCCTCTCTTGCGCCGCTCTGCGCAGCGCTTCCACGTGGCGAACCACTGTGTACACAGTACCACACGCATTCACACTTCTCAACGAGATCACACGAGGCCACGATCAGCTATTAATGATTTATTTTCGGCTACCTGGGAATTGATGTTAAATCAGTAAGAATCGACGAAGCTGGCCTATTCTACTACCCCTGTACCTATTCCCTATTTATCGGCTTATGATACTAATTCACCTTCTTACTCACGGTTAGGTGCCCACGGCTGTCCGTTGATCCCGTGCTCGCAGCGTACCTCAATGTGGCTCGCATGGACGTCCGGGTCGCTGGGCTGGAGAGCGTCTCGTGGCCTGATGCTGGAGCAAGAGAGAGCTCTACCCGTTTTCGCCCCCCCCCCCCCCCTTTATCATCCCTACATCAAAGAGATGCTGCTCCGCCTGTTGCGGTGCTCTCCCAGTTTTTCTTTAACAATGGGCGCGCGCCAGTCAGGGCGCGTGCGGCGGTTCCGGGCCCCTTTGCTATGCTAATAAGATGCGCTGCATGTTGCGGCGTTTATTCTAATTAATCCCTTTCTCATGCATGGTGCCTTGGTTATGCACATTATGCAGCGGCGTCCATCACAACGGCCTGCCGTGGGAAGTTATGCGCGGAGCCTCTGCTTATTTGTAATTCTAGCTTTTACCCTTTAACTTCCCTAATTTCCCTAATCTTGGTGCCCACGCGCTCAAGCGTAACCATCCCAACCATCAGCGACTACGCGCAAAAGCCCCTGCGGTCATGCTAACCATGCCGTCCCGTCCCTCCCCTGCCTGCCTCGTCGATACGTGTGTGGGCGTGGGGGGTGCGCTTCAACCGCAGTGGCCGAGTGGCCCCTCGCTGCGACCTTGCAATCTTAATGCCGGTCGCAGCGCCGCGAAGTAGCATCGGGGGAGGTCGTCCAATTCCCTGGTCACCGGAAACCATGAAAGTTATCCCGATAAGGGCTTCTCGGATTAAAACCGGTCGGCCAGGTGACTTCCCCTCGGAGCTCTATGGGGGGGGGGGGAATGCGTGCGGGTGTGTTCATGTGAGGTGAGGTGGGGGGACGCGGGGGTCGGCTCCTTCACTTGGTGGTGGCGAGGTCGGGGATGGGGCGCCCGCCGAGCGGCTTCGTGGCGGCGGCATCACATAGCCCCCCGAGGTGCCAGTCCCCGTCCAGGGTTGACTGGAGCACCTTGCTTGGGCCGCGCCTACGAGGAAACGCTGCGGGGTCCGGGGGATCCGTCCGGACCTTGTGGTTGGTCTCGGGGCGGGTGGCTCTGTCCTCTGTAGCTCCTGCGGCGGCCTCCTCCTCCACTCCAGCGGCTCTCCCCGTCCTCCGGCACCTGTGGGCTGGGGCACAAACTCAGCAGCGGAAAGGTTTAGGGGCCGTCGTCCCCGCCGTCTCCTGACTGGATCGGGGCGTCTCGGAATCGGAGGCCCGGCGGGGCCCATGTAGCGTGCGAGGCCCCCAAACATGGGGGGTGCGGGTGCCCCGGGATTCCGGGGCCTTCGGGTGACAGGGTTCTCTCTCGCCGGGGCCGCTTTCCATGGTTTTAAGCGGCGGACGTTGACCACTGTCTCTCGACCCCTCTCCCCGCCATAGATTAGTACCATCCAGGGGGAGATCTGCCGCACCACGGTCCAGGGTCCCCACCAGTAGGTCGTCAGTTTCCCCACCTGCCCAGCCCCGATGCGAGGGGTGTGTAGCCATACCTTAGCGCCGGTCAGGAATAAGGGGGGTTCCATGCGGGGTCGGGCGCCATGTTCTTGCCGCCGATGCGCGGCTTCCCCTTGCGGGCATGCTCGGCCTCGGGCTTCTCGCAGGGTCTTCATCAGGTGTTCCACGGGGCGGCTTCCCTCCTCCGGCTGCGGGGAAGGAACGCCGAACAGCAGGTCTGCGGGTAAACGAGACTCACGGCCGAACATCATTAAAAACGGGGTTTGTCCCGTCGACGTGTGTACGGTGGTGGCGTAGGCGAAAAGGGCGTAGGGGAGGTGTTCGTCCCAATCCCGTTGATTTGCGGCCGCCATACGTTTGAGTTTCCCCGCTAAGGTCTGATTCATGAGCTCCACCATACCGTTCGCTTGGGGGTGGTACGCTGTGGTTCGGTCCTTCTGGATTCCGAATTCTCGGCACAGTGCCTGGAACAGCTCGGCCTCGAACTCGCTACCCTGGTCGGTGAGGACTCGTTCTGGGATTCCATGCTTAAGTACGTAATGCTCCACGAATGCCCGGGCCACCACCAGGGCCGTTTTATCAGGGATGGCCACTGCCACGGGGTAGCGGGTGAAATACTCTACTGCGACTAGGATATACCGGTTGCCTCGATGGGATCGTGGGAATGGCCCCTGTAGGTCGATCCCGACCAGCTGGTTCGTGCGGCTGACGCGGAACGGCCTTAGGGGTACCTGATATCGTGCCGGCTTCGGCCCGCACTGCTGACAGGCGCGGCAGCCCTGTACCCAGGCGGCCACGTCTTGTGCCAATTTGGGCCAGAGATACTGGCGACGCAGGGTCTCTCGAGTGCGTCGTTCCCCATCGTGGCCCCCGAGTGGGTGGCTCATGCACCAGCCGTAGCAGCTGGGGTCGCACCTGGGCAGGAACACAGATGCACCCCGGCTGGCCGGCCTCGGTTAACTCCCGTACCACCCCGTTCTGCACACACAACCGGCCATACAAACCGCTCCAGGGTCCTGGTAGGGCGCTCTTTTTCTCCTGTAGTGCTGCCTCCACCGCCGCCAGATCTGGATCCCGCTGCTGGGTCTGCCTCAGCTGCTCATCGTTCAGGCCCGGGAAGGCGCAGCCGACGTCCTCCTGGATCTGTCCGATCGGGACGGGGTGATCCGCCGGGTCCCGAGCCGTGGGTTCCGCGCTTGCCGGGTGGTCGACGGGATCCTCGGTGCCACCTGTGAGGGTCTCTGTGGCGCACACTGCACTCTTCTCTCGCTGGGGGGGGGTCAGTGGCCGCGGCCTCTCGGGGGTCCGTTGCCTGCCGGCAGCGTCCCCCCGTGAAACACGGGCAGGCCTCCTCCGCCCTTGTCTCGGCGTACACCGTGGGCCGCCTCGACAAGGCGTCCGCGTTTGCATGCGTCCGGCCAGCCCGATATTCGATTTGCAGGTTGTACTCCTGCAACTG